TAGCATGATACACACTGCATGGATTAGTCTCTATAGATAGTCTGGAGATAATCTGTCTGTTAGCATGATACACACTGCATGGATTAGTCTCTATAGATAGTCTGGAGATAATCTGCCTGTTAGTATGATACACACTGCATGGATTAGTCTCTATAGATAGTCTGGAGATAATCTGTCTGTTAGCATGATACACACTGCATGGATTAGTCTCTATAGATAGTCTGGAGATAATCTGTCTGTTAGTATGATACACACTGCATGGATTAGTCTCTATAGATAGTCTGGAGATAATCTGTCTGTTAGCATGATACACACTGCATGGATTAGCCTCTATAGATAGTCTGGAGATAATCTATTTGTTAGTATGATACACACTGCATGGATTAGTCTCTATAGATAGTCTGGAGATAATCTGTCTGTTAGTATGATACACACTGCATGGATTAGTCTCTATAGATAGTCTGGAGATAATCTGTCTGTTAGTATGATACACACTGCATGGATTAGTCTCTATAGATAGTCTGGAGATAATCTGTCTGTTCGTATGATACACACTGCATGGATGAGTCACTATAGATAGTCTGGAGATAATCTGTCTGTTAGCATGATACCCAGTGCATGGATTAGGGCGGCAGGTAGCTTAGTGGGTAAGAGCGTTGTGCCAGTAACCGAAAGGTCGCTGGTTCTAATCCCCGAGCCGACTAGGTGAAAAATCTGTCCGATGGTGCCTTGAGCAAGGCACTTAACCCTAATTGCATCCTGTAAGTCCGCTCTGGATAAGAGGGCGTTGCTGCTAAATTGGACCAAAAATAAATAGAAAAAATAAAAAATAATTAGTCGCTCATAGATAGTCTGGAGATAATCTGTCTGTTAGCATGATAACCATAAATGGATTAGTCGCTATAGATAGACATGGAGATAATCTGTCTGTTACATGATACCCAGTGCGTGGGATTAGTCTCTATAGATAGATCTGGAGATAAGCTGTCTGTCGTATGATACAAACTGCATGGATAGTCTCTAAGTAGTCTGGAGATAATCGGTCTGTTAGTATGATAAACACTGCAGGATTAGTCTATATAGATAGTCTGGAGATAATCTGTCTGTAGGCATGATACACACTGCATGGATGTAGTCTCTATAGATAGTCTAGAGTAATCTGTCTGTTAGCGAATACACACTGAGGATTAGTCTCTAAATAGTCTAGAGATAATTGTCTGTAGTATGATAACCATTAAATGGTTCGTCGCTATAGAGAGTATGGAGATAATCTGTCTGTTAGTCATGATATAACATGCATGGATTAGTCTCTATGATAGTCTAGAGATAATCTTGTCTGTTAGATATAACCATTAAATGGATTACGTCGCTATAGATAGTCTGGAGATAATGTCATGGTATCGATTCCAGTGTGGATTACTTATAGATAGTCTGGATAACTGTCTGTAGAAAATTTCCATTTTAATGGATTAGTCGCATAGATAGTTGGAATAATATGTTAGTATGTACACACTGCATTGGATTAGTTTCATAAAATTTGAGATAATGCTGTTAGTAGATACCACGCTTTTGTCTTTAGATAGTCTGGAGTGTAAATGTCGTTACTAATAGCATGGATAGCCTCGTTAGATAGATGGATAATCTGTGTTAGATGTCCCGTGCGTGGCTTAGCAAAATAGTAGTTGGGATAATTGTGTATTATACACTGCATGGATTAGTCACTATAGATAGTCTGGAGTAATCTGCTGTTATGATAACACTATGGATTACTTATAGATTAGTCTGGAGATAATATGTCTGTTAGCATGATACACACTGCATGGATTAGTCTCTATAGATAGTCGGAGATAATCTGGGGTATGATAACTGCATGGATTAGTCTCTATAGATAGTCGGAGTGTTTCTTGCATGATACCTGGCAGATAGCCTTATAGATAGTCTGGAGATAACATTTGTTAGTATGATACACATGCATGATAGTCTCTAGATGTCTGAGACCTGTTGTTGATAACAATGCATGGATTAGTCTTATAGATAGTCTGGAGATAATTGTGGTTTAGTATGATACACACTGCATGGATTAGTCTCTATAGATAGTCTGGAGATAATCTGTCTTTAGATGATACACACTGCATGGATTAGTCCTATAGATAGTCTGGAGATAATCTGTTAGTTAGATAAACACTGATGGATTCTATAGATAGTTGGGATAATCTGCTGTGAGAAAACTAACTGCATGGAGTCTATAGATAGTCTGGAGATAACTTGTAGTATGGAAACATCTGTCTGTTAGTATGATACACACTGCATGGATTAGTCTCTATAGATAGTCTAGAGATAATCTGTCTGTTAGCATGATAACCATTAAATGGATTAGTCGCTATAGATAGTCTGGAGATAATCTGTCTGTTAGCATGATACCCAGTGCTTGGATTAGTCTCTATAGATAGTCTGGAGATAATCTGTCTGTTAGTATGATACACACTGCATGGATTAGTCTCTATAGATAGTCTGGATATAATCTGTCTGTTAGCATGATACACACTGCATGGATTAGCCTCTATAGATAGTCTGGAGATAATCTATTTGTTAGTATGATACACACTGCATGGATTAGTCTCTATAGATAGTCTGGAGATAATCTGTCTGTTAGTATGATACACACTGCATGGATTAGTCTCTATAGATAGTCTGGAGATAATCTGTCTGTTAGTATGATACACACTGCATGGATTAGTCTCTATAGATAGTCTGGAGATAATCTGTCTGTTCGTATGATACACACTGCATGGATTAGTCACTATAGATAGTCTGGAGATAATCTGTCTGTTAGCATGATAACCATTAAATGGATTAGTCGCTATAGATAGTCTGGAGATAATCTGTCTGTTAGCATGATACCCAGTGCGTGGATTAGTCTCTATAGATAGTCTGGAGATAATCTGTCTGTTAGTATGATACACACTGCATGGATTAGTCTCTATAGATAGTCTGGAGATAATCTGTCTGTTAGTATGATACACACTGCATGGATTATTTCTCTATAGATAGTCTGGAGATAATCTGTCTGTTAGCATGAACACACTGCATGGATTAGTCTCTATAGATAGTCTAGAGATAATCTGTCTGTTAGCATGATACACACTGCATGGATTAGTCTCTATAGATAGTCTAGAGATAATCTGTCTGTTAGTATGATAACCATTAAATGGATTAGTCGCTATAGATAGTCTGGAGATAATCTGTCTGTTAGTATGATACACACTGCATGGATTAGTCTCTATAGATAGTCTAGAGATAATCTGTCTGTTAGCATGATAACCATTAAATGGATAGTCGCTATAGATTCTGGAGATAATCTGTCTGTTAGCATGATACCCAGTGCTTGGATTAGTCTCTATAGATAGTCTGGAGATAATCTGTCTGTTAGCATGATAACCATTAAATGGATTAGTCGCTATAGATAGTCTGGAGATAATATGTCTGTTAGTATGATACACACTGCATGGATTAGTCTCTATAGATAGTCTGGAGATAATCTGTCTGTTAGCATGATACACCTGCTGGATTATCTCTATAGATAGTCTGGAGATAATCTGTCTGTTAGCATGATACACACTGCATGATTAGTCTCTATAGATAGTCTGGAGATAATCTGTCTGTTAGTATGATACACACTGCATGGATTAGTCTCTATAGATAGTCTGGAGATAATCTGTCTGTTAGTATGATACACACTGCATGAATTAGTCTCTATAGATAGTCTAGAGATAATCTGTCTGTTAGTATGATACACACTGCATGGATTAGTCTCTATAGATAGTCTGGAGATAATCTGTCTGTTAGTATGATACACACTGCATGGATTAGTCTCTATAGATAGTCTAGAGATAATCTGTCTGTTAGTATGATACACACTGCATGGATTAGTCTCTATAGATAGTCTGGAGATAATATGTCTGTTAGCATGATACACACTGCATGGATTAGTCTCTATAGATAGTCTGGAGATAATCTGTCTGTTAGTATGATACACACTGCATGGATTAGTCTCTATAGATAGTCTGGAGATAATCTATTTGTTAGTATGATACACACTGCATGGATTAGTCTCTATAGATAGTCTGGAGATAATCTGTCTGTTAGTATGATACACACTGCGTGCTTTACATTACACTTTGATCTTCAGATGTTAATCACACATATCTTTATCAATAAAGGATTATCCTCAATGTTGACAGCACGTACCCATAAGTCAATGCACCCAGAACATGTACCGAAGGTCAACCTTATCATGATAGAATGACTGTAGCTACTGTAGTTTCCCGTCATCCAGTTAAGGCCGTCTTCGGCTTTATCTACAATGTCAACGACGGCTGAAGCTCATTTCTACTTTATGTAGAGAGGCCAAGAGAGTGTCAGTACATTCCATTTGGAACTATAATGACATAAACATCAATCTGTCTCAACTGCTACTTAAATTACTGTGTAACCTTTCCAGCCCTGTTAATTTAAAGACTAATAATTTCTATATAAAACAAAAAGAGAATGAGATAGAGAGGGAGCGAGGAGATAGCAAGAGAGAGAGAGAGGATAGAGCAAGAGAGAGAGATATAGTTCCATGTATTTTTTTTTTCTGCATGTGAAATCAAGTGTAATCAACCTTAAAACAAATAAATGGGTAAGCTAAATCAACTTAAAACAAGTAATTCAACTTAAGCATCTCAATACAAGATTTCATATTTAGGTATATTGGACATTTTCATGTTTTACAGTGTAAAGAAAGCTTCCACCTATGATACTAGGCCTACCCACCAACTGAAATATATTAATGTTGGTAAATCGAATTAATTTTTGTAAATGTGGGATTCCCCCACACACTTCCTCATTTCATTATTTCCTTGTTTGCAGCTATATAAACCCAGAATGCACATCACTCCATCACTCACTCTCAGCGCACTCCGATCTTGATCTTTAACCTCAGCCGACCCAGACTCAAGATGCCCTTCAAGCCACACTATCTGTTGGTCGTCCTGACTGTCTACTGGTTTGCTGCTCTTCATGGTGAGATGGATCTGCTAAATAGTTGCAACATTTTTTGCATTTGAAAACATAATTGCAGTAGGACCTAAAACGTATGTTCATTCAAACTCTTACCTTGAAAATGTATCTTTCAGTTGGTCTTGAGGATTTTACTTGATCTGCTTTTACTTTGCTTATTATATATATATATATATATATATATATATATATATATATATATATATATACTTATTATTATATACTAATATTGCGTATTACCGATATGGTCTTTCTCCTTCTGCCTGCAGCGTTGCCAATGGGTGGCTTCGCTCCACGTCTGACGTGTCGCTGCATCCGGACGTCCTCTGCCTTCATCTCTCCTGCGCGGTTTCACAGACTGGAGATCTTACCTCCAGGAGCCCACTGTCGTCACATTGAGATCATGTGAGTCAATAGAACGTCTCTATCTCAATATATTCTAATGAAACCATGGAGTCACTGGGCTTGGGTGAAGCACTAAACTGCAGTTTTCAAAATGCATGTAGGAAAAAAATCGAAAAGTGTGGGGGACAGGAAGTAGTGGAAGGAAAAACAATTGTCACCTTACTGTCTTACATGCAAACCCATTAGAAGTAATATGCCGTTTAGCAGACGCTTTTATCCAAAGCGACTTACAGTCGTGCGCATATATTTTTACGTATGGGTGGTCCCGGCGATCGAACCCACTACCCTGGCTTAACAAGCGCCATGCTCTACCAATTGAGCTACAGAGGACCAGTGAAGAGTTCAAGACTCCCACCTCACACATAACCTACAACAGACTACAATAAATGATGTCATTTTCATGGTAAAGCTCTGATATTTAAAAATATATATATTTCTCTGGTAGTTAGACTTCTTCTTGGCTGTAATGTATCCCCTCCATTCATCAGCGTTACCAAGAAGGACAATACCATCGTGTGTGTGAATCCAAAGGCAAGATGGATAAAAAAAGTCATTGCCCAGTTACAAAGGTAAATACAACACATGCACGCAACACACACTTTTGTTGACTGTAACCTTTAACACAGACCATCTCTTTCAACAGTAACAAGAGAAGTGCAGGTGTCCCCATCTCAACCACTACGGACAGCATCAACACGAAACTGGAACAGCGACAGTAAATTATAAAACATCATCACATCATTCAATCTGGAGCAAAATGGAATGTGCACAACACCAGTGTATGTAATACCAATGGATTCAATCGTAATAGCAAATTATTTTGTTTCTCTCAAATGATCTCTGTATGTATTGAGTTATTATTTAATGTATTCTTCATGTAATGACTCTAACCCAGAAAAATAATCTGTACAAGACAACTTTTTTTTTTTTATAAGGTTTTTATTGCCTAATTGCTGATGCGCGTGTATATTTTCTTTTTATGTGAACATTATTACCCCAATAAAATCCACAAAACGAAACACTTTTCAGAGTAATACAAAGTTAGCACCTCCACCTCTGATTGGTTGACAGATTCCACTCCCAGCAGGAGGTGGGACTTGGGTTGGTTGTATTTCACTCAACTTAAACCCTTTTGCTCTTTGGGAAGCAAAGGTCATTCTCAAACTTCCTGGTCATATTTTAGGCCTCCTTGCTTGCCTAAACACTACAGGGTCTACTTCCTCGTCCTTGATCACATGGTTAGTATGAACGTATTGACCCGACCACATAGACCACAATCCCTCTGTCCCATACTCGTGTCAAATATGTTTTATGATTATTGGTAAAGCTTGTAGGTACAGTCATGGTCAAAAGTTTTGAGAATGACACAAGTATTGGTCTTCACAAAAGTTTGCTGCTTCAGTGTTATGAGACATTTTTGTCAGATGTTACTATTGTATACTGAAGTAAAATTACAAGCATTCCATAAGTGTCAAAGGCATTTATTTACAATTACATTAAGTTTATGCAAAGAGTCAATATTTGCAGTGTTGACCCTTCTTTTTCAAGACCTCTGCAATCCGCCCTGGCATGCTGTCAATTAACTTCTGGGCCACATCCTGACTGATGGCAGCCCATTCTTGCATAATCAATGCTTGGAGTTTGTCAGAATTAGTGGGTTTTTGTTTGTCCACCCGCCTCTTGAGGATCGACCACAAGTTCTCAATGGGATTAAGGTCTGGGGAGTTTCCTGGCCATGGACCCAAAATTTCGATGTTTTGTTCCCCGAGCCACTTAGTTATCACTTTTGCCTTATGGCAAGGTGCTCCATCATGCTGGAAAAGGCATTGGTCGTCACCAAACTGTTCTTGGATGGTTGGGAGAAGTTGCTCTCGGAGGATGTGTTGGTTACCATTCTTTATTCATGGCTGTGTTCTTAGGCAAAATTGTGAGTGAGCCCACTCCCTTGGCTGAGAAGCAACCCCACACATGAATGGTCTCAGGATGCTTTACTGTTGGCATGACACAGGACTGATGGTAGCGCTCACCTTGTCTTCTCCGGACAAGGTGTTTTCCGGATGCCCCAAACAATCGGAAAGGGGATTCATCTGAGAAAATGACTTTACCCCAGTCCTCAGCAGTCCAATCCCTGTACCTTTTGAAGAATATCAGTCTGTCGCTGATGTTTTTCCTGGAGAGAAGTGGCTTCTTTGCTGCCCTTCTTGACACCAGGCCATCCTCCAAAAGTATTCGCCTCACTGTGCGTGCAGATGCACTCACACCTGCCTGCTGCCATTCCTGAGCAAGCTCTGCACTGGTGGTGCCCCGATCCCGCAGCTGAATCAACTTTAGGAGATGGTCCTGGCGGACGCTGGAATTTCTTGGGCGCCCTGAAGCCTTCTTCACAACAACTGAACCTCTCTCCCTGAAGTTCTTGATGATCCAATAAATGGTTGATTTAGGTGCAATCTTACTAGCAGCAATATCCTTGCCTGTGAAGCCCTTTTTGTGCAAAGCAATGATGACGGCACGTGTTTCTTTGCAGGTAACCATGGTTAACAGAGGAAGAACAACGATTTCAAGCACCACCCTCCTTTTAAAGCTTCCAGTCTGTTGTTCTAACTCAATCAGCATGACAGAGTGATCTCCAGCCTTGTCCTCGTCAACACTCTCACCTGTGTTAACGAGAGAATCACTGACATGATGGCAGCTGGTCCTTTTTTGGGGATTAAGTTCAATTTCATGACAAAGAGGGACTTTGCAATTAATTGCAATTCATCTGATCACTCTTCATGACATTCTGGAGTATATGCAAATTGCCATCATCAAAACTGAGGCAGCAGACTTTGTGAAAATTAATTCTCAAAACTTTTGACCACGACTGTACACCATGTAGATGGATAGCTGGGTTGGATGCATAGGGGCCAGATAAACTAAGACAAACACATATTTAAAGTAACACGAGTGCTTTCTTTTCATCACACTAAGCAATGAGCTTGCAATAGCATTCACACAGCTTTAAACCTAACATTTCTCTTCTAAAAAGGTGGCTTAGGTCTGAAAAGACCACGTGATATTCACCAAAGCCTAGAGTTCACCATTCAAAAAGATTTCTGCTAACAAAACCTCTAGCAATTCGGTCACTCTGTGCCAAGTCCGCCAAATGATGACCCGAATGAACAAATTAAAAACAAACTGAAATTAAATCAATCACTACATTCAGAAACACAACGGAACGTGTGCCTCTGGGTCTAACTGTAGAGATTTAAACTCTGGGTCTAGCACGGTCTCTGAGGGGCTACCTATGGTCACTCTCAATATGGCTGACAAGCAATTGAATGATCGTTCCTACTAGTGATGCACGGGTTGACTCATAACCTGCAGTCCATCTGGTTATATCAGTGGGGTGGGGGGGGTTTAGGGTCATGAAATATTGTGTGGATGAAGAGCGGTGGGTGGCGGGCAGGTTTGAGAAAGAGGTTTTCCTTTCATTATTTGATGCTATCTGGCATTAGTGCATAAGCCTAAGCTTTAAGGCCTAAGCACACAAACAGCCTACAGCCAATCACCAAATTATTTGGGGAACAGGCAGAAAAAGTTAACGTCGATCCAAGGAGGCAAAAAGGACAATGTGGGAGTTTAATTCAATAAGAGAAAATCTGCAAAATGGAGAGTTGAAAATAAAGAGAAGGGAGGGCCAGAAAAGTCATGTTCGGGAAAGATTTGGTGAAGTGGTAAAAGGATGATACCAACGGCGGGCGGCCATGTTATGTGTTATGATTGTGAGGCGCTTTACAAAATCCACAGTCACAAGATGGGCACGTCAAAGGAACTGTAGCCAGATGGGTTAAATGGAAACTGAAATCTGGACACTGACTGTAGGTCTATAACCTCTCACATGGCCTTAATATGAACTCCTGCAGAATTAAGCATTTCTTGCAGTAAAATGATAAACCAAATGTAGGCTACATTTTTACTCTAGAACGGGAGTGGAGAAATATTATTTATTTATTTCAGCGTCTTGACAGAAAGTGAATGCGCAGTTAGATACCGTCTGTAGAGGTGCTATCTTTATCAGGATCATATAAAAGCTGGTAGTATTTCAACAACATTAAATAAGCATCCAAGCCCAACTGAAATCTTATCAGAAACATGTTGGGTCATTTTCACAGATTTTTATTTCCTTACAACCGGTCAAACTGATGTCATTTGGAAATTCTGCACAGAAAATGTTTCAATTTTTTTTTCTCAGTTATTGCATTTTTCTCCCCGGTCCCTAAATGTATTTGCTCCACGAAAGAAGCAGAGATGACAGAGAAAACTTTACTGATGTCAACTACACTGAAGCATTAATTCTATTGATTGAGGACATTCTGGTGAGCAAGTATCTAATTATAGTTGAGTAACAAATAGCCTACCAAAATGCTGGAAATTATAAGCAGATATATTATCTAAATCAAGAAAAAGAAACCCATTTAAAAAATTTAAAAACTTTTGAAACAAATAGCTTCTCATCTTCAGTTTATTGAGAAAACATAGAAAATAGATGCCATTTTTTCAATTATTAATTTGGAATTTCAGAAGGGCAACCCCCAGTGGTGTGAAACGAGAGGGTTCTAGTGTTCCATCCCTGGACCTCCTGTACCCTGTACCTCCTGTACCCTGTACCTCCTGTACCCTGTACCTACGTTCAACTTCACTTTCTCATCTACCGTCTGAGGTTGGGGGTCATAGAAGAGAGAAAGGATGGAAGGATGGAGGGAGGGATGAATGGAGGGATAGATGGATAGATGGATGAATAGCTAGAAGGATGGATAGATGGATGATAGATGGATGAATGGATGGATGGATGGATGGATGGATGGATGGATGGATGGATGGATGGATGGATGGATGGATGGATGGATGGATGGATAGGATGGATAGATGGATAGATGTTGGCGCATGGTTAGTCTGAGCTACTCAGGCTGGGTGTAAACAGGCAGCCCATTCTGATCTTTTGACCAATTATTGGCAGAAAATCTGATCTGATTGGTCAAAAGTCAGTGGCAAAAGGTCAGATTTGGTCTGCCTGTGTAAACGCAAACTTATTTTCCTAGGCAGTGCTGCTGTTGGAGAGATAGTGTACTGTACAAACGAGGGACGTGGACGCTGTTGTAAGAAAATGGATGTGCTCTACAAAACTAACTTTGATACACATGTAAAGTCCTAGTGCACGTGTTCATGAGAGAAAAAACAATGGCTGTGATATTCAATTAGATATGTGGAGGGGTGAAATGATTATGGTGTTTGGGAGTGGGAGTCCTTGTTAAAAAAATGAAAGTCCTAGGGAAGACTAGGAGATCATCAGCTGAAAAAAGGGACAAAAAAAATTGATTTAGAAAGAGTTGACCATCATTTGACCATTTAGATGGATTTCACATTAAAATCTTCAGTCACAAATTAATAAAAAGCCATTTAGCAATTATCTCTTTTCAAAAGCATGTAACACTGTTTTTGTACAAAGTACCAATTTATAGTCTGCATTTAGATCAGCAACAAAAATGCCCATAGTTTAAAAACAAGCTTCGATGGAACCATTGGTTCACATACTGCTCTCAGTACTGTGTTGAGCCAGGGGGTATTTCACACATTGACTGGGCATACAGATCAGATTGACAAACCTGTCAGCAACGGGCGTACGCTGAAATAGCCAAATCCACTAATTTGAAGGGTTCCACATACTTTTGTGTATATAGTGTATCTGGGTCCAGGCTAGCAAAATTGTATATTACCCCCAACGGATGTAAAGCAGTTATGGTGATCAGACAGGCACCAAAGACGATAATATCTGGTTTAATATACAACTGCCATAAATGTAGTCGTACCCCACTAAATTAAAGATCTGGGGGGGTGAAGTATGGGCCCAGAAATGTCCCCTCTCACTGTATCAGGCAGGCTGGTTTCACAAAAGTCATTGAAATCGGAGGCATAGCATGTTAGATAATCATGTGCAAATAAAGCAAAGCCAATGTTGTCAAAGGCATGTTATAACGTTCTGTTATGTAGACTCAATGCAGCTTCAACCTGCACACACAGTATAGCGTTGCCATGGTATTATTATAGCCCCATTAGGGTTGCAACATTTTGTGAACTTTCCCATAATTCCCTAGGTTTTCCAGAAATCCTGGTTGGAGGATTCCGGATTTCCTGCTTATTCCCTCTTGATCAGGGAATCTTCTAACCAGGATTTCTGGAAAACCTGGGAATTTTGAGAAAGTTACCAGCATTGTTCAAACCTTATCCCCATAAATATATGGCTTCTTTCATTCAAATACCTCTGGGAACAAACGCTAAAGTTTGATTGCTTTACAACCCCTCAACTCTGTAGCACTTTAGAGAGTTACAGAAATTACCAGGTACTTCCTAAGAAATTACATGGTAAAAAATGGTAATTACTCAGTAATAACCTATTTATTAGTTATTTGCAGGGTGCTACCCCAAAAATCAGAAAACCCTGTGTCAGCTACATAGCCTGTGCATTAGTGTATGTGTAACATACATTTTCCAAGTACTTGCTATGGACCTAGGGATTTGGAAGCCTTCACAAGGAGGAGGAGGACGCTCCTCTAGTGTCTAGGTCTTGAACAGAAGAGGTGTTTTTTTAATGCATAGTATAGCCCTGGATTCCACCTCAGTGAGAGGACATCAGATTGAGTTAGGCTGTGTCCCAAATGGAGCCCAGTACCCTACTACGCATTAAATCACTGATAGGATATGACCACACCAATCCGTTCTCATGACTCTTAATACGTAGATAATGCACCAAACTGGCAAGCAAATGTGATTGGTTTTGGGAGGATTCTTCAATCAATCTATCAGTCAAACATTGATGGATTGATGAGGACTCTTGGGACTCTGAGCCTCAGGGCTTTGAACCTCAGGGAAGTTTGGGCTTTGAGCATCAGGGAAGTTGGGCTTTGAGCATCAGGGAAGTTTTGGCTTTGAGCATCAGGGAAGTTTGGGCTTTGAGCATCAGGGAAGTTTGGGCTTTGAGCATCAGGGAAGTTTGGGCTTTGAGCATCAGGGAAGTTTGGGCTTTGAGCATCAGGGAAGTTTGGGCTTTGAGCATCAGGGAAGTTGGGCTTTGAGCATCAGGGAAGTTTGGGCTTTGAGCATCAGGGAAGTTGGGCTTTGAGCATCAGGGAAGTTGGGCTTTGAGCATCAGGGAAGTTGGGCTTTGAGCATCAGGGAAGTTTGGGCTTTGAGCATCAGGGAAGTTTGGGCTTTGAGCATCAGGGAAGTTGGGCTAAAGACTAAAGGTGTTAAAAGCACTGCAGTTTAAAAGCTAAAGACCAAATCATAATGATTACCAAGATAAAATCATAATGATTACCAAGACATGTTGGTCAAAGACCGGTATCTTTTTCTTCATTTTTAAACTTTTACCCCTTTACCTTTTTCTCCCCAGTTTCATGATATCCAATTGGTAGTTATAGTCTCATCCCATCGCTGCAACTCCCGTATGGACTCGGGAGAGGCGAAGGTCGAGAGCCAGGCGTCCTCCGAAACACAACCCAAGCCACACTGCTTCTTGACACACTGCTCGCTTAACCCGGAAGCCAGCCGCACCAATGTGTCAGAAGAAACACTGTACAACTGCCGACCAAAGTCAGCTTGCAGGCGCCCGGCCCGCCAAACCCTCCCCTAACCCGGACGACGCTGGGCCTATTGTGCGCCGCCTCATGGGCCTCCCGGTCATGGCCAGCTTTGGATCGAACCCGGGTCTGTGACGCCTCTAGCACTGCGATGCAGTGCCTTAGACCGCTGCGCCACTCGGGAGGCCCCAAAGACAGATATCTAAAATGACTGCAACCCATAAGTTAATTTTGGTCTGGGTCAGGGGCACACGCCACTCGCAAGCAACTCAAACAGGCAAGGGAAAAAATCAGTGCATAGTGTCAACATAAATAGCAGCATGAGGTGAGAGCAACGTGAATTCATACAGGTACTGTGTTTGAGTTAGTAGGGCTGGGATCCTGTTCAATGATCGATCCTATAGGTTTCCGTAGAAGCTAGCTGAAGATGACATTTTCACATTTTGATTTCCATATTGAAATCTGACATTTTATCTTAGGCTGATATACTGATGTAGTGTTAAAAAGCACATATCTCTTCTTACCATACTTTACTCCAAATAAATTGATACTGAAAAGTTCCAAACCCAAATCCATTTGTGTATTTAGCAGAATAACAAAAATGTGTTGGGGTAACATTTATGTTGAAATGACGGGACTTAACATTATCATAAAATACAATTCAGAACTTTCGGATGTCATATTTGTAAAATATGTAAGTAGTTGTCTTGAGGATTGGGTACCTCAAAATCGAACGGAGAGAATTCAGATGTCGGCTGTCATTGTACTGTAGAAGGTTATGTGAGAAAAAGCCGCCATATCCAGACCAGGTTTAAGGCAAAAACACTGACATCAGATCAGGATGACCTGAACTTGGGGCTCCCTCCCAAATGGAACCCTATTCCCTATATAGTGCACTATTTTTGGGCCACATTGGGCTCTGGTCAAAAGTAGTGCACTATATAGGGAATAGGGTGCTATTTCAGACTCGCATTTGGGAGTTTCCAAGAAGAGCAGCAGTATGTAATGTGACCAGAAAACAACACAAAACACAAATCCCAACCCTAATTTGGTATCAAGCCGTTCATGTAGACGAAGAAAGAAAACAAGCAGGAATCCAATCAGTGTGCAAAATGGAGGTTAAAAGAGGAGCAGAACGGGTGAATACTCCTTTGGGAGGTGGGTTGTCTGAGTTTGTTTGTTTGTGATTTGGGATCGTGATAAGACTGCAAAGGGTCCTGTTCGGCAGAGATGGGGCGGGGCATTAGGGGTTCAAAAGGTCAAGGATCAGGGGTGAGAGGCTGTGGCCCCACTACCTGTGGACGGCCAGGTGCAGGCCGTTGAGGGAGGAAGAGGAGGTGACGGGCGGGTGGAGCTCCAGCTGGGCGAGCAGAGAGAAGTGGTCAGAGGGTATGTGGGGGTGGGGACACCCGGTGATGTTGTTGTCCGTTAACCACTGAGTCTCCAGGGGGCCCAGCAGGCCGGCTACAGACATGTGAGTCTTGGAGAAGAAGATGTAGTCGATCACGCCCTGCGGAAGGAGGGAGAGCAGGGAAGAGGGGGAGAAGGTGAGAGGGGGAAACGGAGAATGAAAGAGAGATTTTCTTTACTATTGTTACATGTTAAAAATCTGAAACACTGCTGGTCAGGGGTTCCTTTTCTAAATGGGCCGTAAACTGACATCAATTTTGAGCACTAAACTGAAGACAGATCCTATTCCAGAGCAGCCCAGTTTTACCTTGAAGTCATATATATAGTTGGTGTATTCAAATGTAGCCTACCTTGAGGTCATGTAGAGCATTCAGAAAGTACTCAGACCCCTTGACTTTTTCCACACTGTTACGTTACAGCCTTATTCTAAAATGTATTCAATGTTTTTTTTCCCCTCATCCAACTACACACAATACCCCATAATGACAAAGCAAAAACAGGTTTTTATAATTTTTTGCAAATGTATATTTACTTTGTTGAAGCACCTTTGGCAGCGATTACAGCCTCAAGTTTTCTTGGGTATGATGCTACAAGCGTGGCACATCTGTATTTGGGGAGTTTCTCCCATTCGTTTATGCACAGCTATTCTATTTTTCGGTCTCTCCAGAGATGTTCGATCAGGTTCAAGTCCGGGCTCTGGCTGGGCCACTCAAGGACATTCAGAGACTTGTCCCGAAGCCACTCCTGCGTTGCCTTGGCTGTGTGCTTAGGGTTGTTGTCCTGTTGGAAAGTGAACCTTCGCCCCAGTCTGAGGTCCTGAGCACTCTGGAGCAGGTTTTCATCAAGGAGCTCTCTGTACTTTGATCCATTTATCTTTCCCTTGATCCTGACTAGTCTCCCAGTCCCTGCTGCTGAAAAACATTCCCACAGCATGATGCTGCCACCACCATGCTTCACCGTAGGGATGGTGCCAGGTTTCTTCCAGGCGTGATGCTTGGCATTCAGGCCGAAGAGTTCAATCTTGGTTTCATCAGACCAGAGAATCTTGTTTCTCATGGTCTGAGAGTCTTTAGGTTCCTTTTGGCAAACTCCAAGCGGGCTGTCATGTGCCTTTTACTGAGGAGTGGCTTCCGTCTGGCCACTCTACCATAAAGGCCTGATTGGTGGAGTGCTTCAGAGATGGTTATCCTTCTGGAAGGTTCTCCCATCAGAAGAAGAACTCTGGAGCTCTGTCAGAGTGACCATCGGCTTCTCGGTCACCTACCTGACCAAGGCCCTTCTCCCCCGATTGCTCAGTTTGGCCAGGCGGCCAGCTCTAGGAAGAGTCTTGGTGGTTCCAAACTTTTTCCATTTAAGAATGATGGAGGCCACTGTGTTCTTGGGGACCTTCAATGCTGCAGACATTTTTTGGTACCCTTCCCCAGATCTGTGCCTCGACACAATCCTGTCTCGGAGCTCTACGGACAATTCCTTCGACCTCATGGCTTGGTTTTTGCAAAAAAATCTAAAAACCTGTTTTCGCTTTGTCATTATGTGGTATTGTGTGTAGATTGATGAGGGGAAACATAATTTAATCAATTTTAGAATAAGGCTGTAACGTAACAAAATGTGGAAAAAGTCAAGGGGTCTGAAGACTTTCCGAATGCACTGTATATATGTATATATATATATATATATATATATATATATATATATATATATATATATATATATATATACAGTTGAAGTCAGAAGTTTACATACACCTTAGCCAAATACATTTAAACTCTGTTTTACACAATTCCTGACATTTAATCCTAGTAAATATTCCCTGTCTTAGGTCAGTTAGGATCACCACTTTATTTGAAGAATGTGAAATGTCAGAATAATAGTAAAGAGAATGATTTATTTCAGCTTTTATTTTTTTTCATCACATTCCCATTGGGTCAGAAGTTGACATACACTCAATTAGTATTTGGTAGCATTGCCTTTAAATTGTTTAACTTGGGTCAAACTTTTCGGGTAGCCTTCCACAAGCTTCCCACAATAAGTTGGGTGAATTTTGGCCCATTCCTCCTGACAGAGCTGGTGAAACTGAGTCAGGTTTGTAGGCCTCCTTGCTCGCACACGCTTTTTCAGTTCTGCCCACAAATTTCCTATAGGATTGAGGTCAGGGCTTTGTGATGGCCACTCCAATACCTTGACTTCCTCGTCCTTAAGCCATTTTGCCACAACTTTGGAAGTATGCTTGGGGTCATTGTCTATTTGGAAGACCCATTTGCGACCAAACTTTAACTTCCTGACTGATGTCTTGAGATGTTGCTTCAATATATCCACATAATTTTCCTTCCTCATGATGCCATCTATTTTGTGAAGTGCACCAGTCCCTCCTGCAGCAAAGCACCCCCACAGCATGATGCTGCCACCCCCGTGCTTCACAGTTGGGATGGTGTTCTTCGGCTTGCAAGTGCCCCCTTTTTCCTCCAAACATAACGATGGTCATTATGGCCAAACAGTTCTATTTTTTGTTTCATCAGACCAGAGGACATTTCTCCAAAAAGTACGATCTTTGTCCCCATGTGCAGTTGCAAACCGTAGTCTGGCTTTTTTATGGCGGTTTTGGAGCAGTGGTTTCTTCCTTGCTGAGCTGCCTTTCAGGTTATGTCGATATAGGACTCGTTTTACTGTGGATATAGATACTTTTGTACCCGTTTCCTCCAGCATCTTCAAAAGGTCCTTTGCTGTTGTTCTGGGATTGATTTGCACTTTTCGCACCAAAGTACGTTCATCTCTTAGTACTAGTAGTAGTACTAGTAGCAGCAGTAGTAGTAGTACTAGTAGCAGTAGTAGTAGTAGTAGTAGTAGTAGTAGTAGTAGTAGTAGCAGCAGTAGTAGTAGTACTAGTAGCAGTAGTAGTAGTAGTAGTAGTAGTAGTAGTAGTAGTAGTAGTAGTAGTACTAGTAGCAGCAGTAGTAGTAGTACTAGTAGCAGTAGTAGTAGTAGTAGTAGTAGTAGTAGCAGTAGTAGTAGTAGTAGCAGGAAGGAGACAGAACGCGTCTCCTTCCTGAGCGGTATGACGGCTGAGTGGTCCCATGGTGTTTATACTTGCGTACTATTGTTTGTACAGATGAACAGGTGTTTGGAAATTGCTCCCAAGGATGGACCAGAATTGTGGAGGTCTACAATTTTTTTGCTGAGTTCTTGGCTGATTTCTTTTGATTTTCCCATGATGTCAAGCAAAGAGGCACTGAGTTTGAAGGTAGGCCTTGAAACACATCCACAGGTACACCTCCAATTGACTCAAATGATGTCAATTAGCCTATCAGAAGCTTCTAAAGCCATGACATCATTTTCTGGAATTTTCCAAGCTGTTTAAAGGCACAGTCAACTTAGTGTATGTAAACTTCTGACCAACTGGAATTGTGATACAGTGAATTATAAGTGAAATAATCTGTCTGTAAACAATTGTTGGAAAAATTACTTGTGTCATGCACAAAGTAGATGTCCTAACCGACTTGCCAAAACTATAGTTTGTTAACAAGAAATTTGTGGAGTGGTTGAAAAACGAGTTTTAATGACTCCAAACTAAGTGTATGTAAACTTCCGACTTCAACTATATATAGTTGGTGTATTAAGGTGTAACCTACCTTGAAGTCATATGTATAATTGGTATAAGACATGAGGCTGTCCTGGTAGGCGCTTTTCAACTGGAAGCTGTGTGTGATGCTGCCGTCAGAAGGTCCGTTCTTCCCCTGGCAGCTGAAGTTGGTGAGAGCCTCGTTGTAGCGCAGCTCTCTGAAGTCCTTATGGTTCTCTGCTACACCACCGTTACTCAGGTACTCCACTACACCTGGTGGGGGGGGGGGCATTGAAACAGTTAACCTCTGTTTTCTAGTGTGTTGGGAGTACCTGAGTAACAGATAACATGGAGCACAGCCTTGCTTCACTGAAAAGGGTTAGGTGTTAGGGTTAGTTCTGAGCCAGGTCAAAGGTCAGGTCCTTACCAGAGTCTGGCAGGGAGTTGAGGTCAGCACAGAGGACGATAGGGATGGAGGCGGGGTCGGAGGTCGGGGAGCCTGTTGCCACGGAGCTCAGCGCCCTCTCGGTGATGCTCTTCAGCTCAGACAGGAACATCATGGTCTGGATCAGCTTGACGTCACAGAACTCTGGGTCCCAGTGCATGTGGGCGTTAGCCACTAAGATGAGCTGTGTCTCCTGCAGAGGCTTCATGCCTGACAAACAGAAGAAGAAGACAAATACTTTATTGTCCATTTTCCTTACAGTCCACAGAACAGTGGTAAGAGTTTGTTAACCACACCTTGGCCAAATAGATTATGTCAAGAACTTTTCAAGTATTTAACGGTATTTTCAGGTGACCTTGAAACTTGAAAGTAGTGGACTTGTTTGCATTGTACCAGGCCAACCTAAATCAAACTAAAGTTTTGTCAAGTAAACGTTCAGGACTTAGGATAAGTAGGGACTTCCATCTACTGGTAGAGCTAGGTACTGGTAAAAAACACTATATGGGAAAAACAAATCATGGTGATCTCTAGTACAGAGACAGGAGAATGCTGTTGAAGTTTCATTTGACATTTTCATAATTTAGCTTTAGCAGATGCGCTTAAGAGCAATTTCTCAAGCAATAATTTTGCTAGGACTGTCTGGAAGTGGTCTGGAAGTGGTCTGATTGTGGAGGGGAAAACTGAAAACGAGCTGTTATTCGCAGAGAGGTTTGGAACTCTCTTTCTTATTGGTCTATTAACTAATTTACCGCCTGGTGATGTCACCAGGCAGGCCAAAACTCCATCCCACCAAAACAGGAGGACATTTCAGACAGTCTTTTCAAACAGCTCTTACACTAAAAAGACATTGTATTTCTCACAGTATTATTCCAACCTCAGTGTGGAAATATATATAAAACACAGGAAGATCACATTTTGACTGCACTGGGCCTTTAAGATACTCACATGGAATGAATACTATTAATAAGGTTGATTGATTGGCTGATTGATTGTACAGATATAAATTGATGATTGACTGATTGACAGGTTCCTCACCACCAGAGAACATGTCCTTGTTGACCTCCAGCAGGACAGCGACCCCGATGTTGTCCTTGGTCATGACCCTGTTCAACATGACCTCTGAACCCTCAGAGTTCGCCATGGCAACCTGGTTGAACTCCACCGTGTGTTTCTGCACCAGAGTAAATCTGAAACATAACCAGATCGGGGTTCAAACACTATTTAAAATCTTTCAAATACTTTGAGCATTTGATTTAAGCCTGCCTGGAGTGCCTTGTGGGTAGGGTTTGCACTTTTTTAATAGGTTCCCATTGCAAGAGGCAAGTTCAATCAAGCACAGGTAAATTATTTGAAATGATTCACTTTTAGGCTGGGTATCTGTAAAGAACTTTGCTGTAAAGCACTGCTGATGTAAAAAGGGCGTTTTATAAATTAAAAATGATTGATTGAATTTACTCACTTCTCGGTCTTGAAGAACACGGCACATCCGTCCACGTGCTTCCTCTCC